GGATCACATTATAAACATAAAATATTTATACTGTAAACGATATTATAGAACCTAGAAAGATAAAATATTTATATTGTAAACGATATTATAGAACCTAGAAAGATAAAATATTTATATTGTAAACGATATTATAGAACCTAGAAAGATGATGTCTTTTCTGTTAATTAATCAAAAAATTCAGCTGGGTTTGGTTTAGCCACTAAATTTAAAGTTGTTGGGTATAATTGTCTGTCAAACTTGCTGATTTTGGATTCAGTTGAGAAGCTGAACCTAAAGTTATTGGGTCTGGCTGTGCTACCAGATATTTCAAATTTTATTTTTTTACCACTTTAGACTGTTTTTTTATTTTCTCTTGTTTAATTCTTTTCATATAGTAGATAAGAAATAAATTAATGAAACTTTTTTTATATTGTAAAAAATTTGGATGATGATAATTTTTTCATCCAAGGTTTATTAAAGCATATTTGTTTTTGCGTTGCAAAATTTTGATTTTTTTATTTTTTATTTAATTCAAATTGATAGTTTTTTTTTATGTTTGTTATTTTTTATTTAATTCAAATTGATAGTTTTTTTTTTTATGTTTGTGTATTATTTTTATGTGATGATATAAAAAACCAATGTTGAAAAATAAAAAAATATTATCTCAATAAATTTTTTTAAAAATACTTTTTAAAATAACCATTATATAATAATATAATAACTAGCATATTGATTTAAGCTCCGCAACGGATCAATAACAATTTTTTTTTAAAATGTAAAAAAATTTGAGTTGGGTTAAAAGAACAAAATGTATTTGCATCACCACCATCTTTAAATAAAATATTTTTCTATAGTAGCACCATGAATAACGCATAATAAAGCAGCGTCCAATATATTGGCAATTAATTTCTTTCCATTTAATTTTTTTAATTTTTATTTTTTTTTCTTGTTCATTTTTTTTCATATTGTAAAGAGAAAATAAATTGATGTGATTTTTTTTATATTGTATAAAATTTGGGTGATGCTAATTTTTTTATTTCAAATTAATATTTTTTGATGTTTTTATATTATTTTGATATGATAATATAAAAATAAATTTTAAAAAATAAAAATATATTATCTTAATATTTTTTAAAAAAATATATTTAAAATGTTATTGAATCTGACTAAACAGCTAAACCCAATATTATTGATTCGACTTTACAACTAGATATTTTCAATTTTACATTCTCTTTTTAGAATTTTTTCTTTTCATCCAAAGTTTTTAGATGTGGCTTCATGACCAAATTCAAAACTCTTAAAATCACCATTCATATTTTTTTAATAATTAATATAAAAATTGCTATTAATAGAATACGTGTAAATATGCTACTATCTTAAATCAACATGCTCCTATCTTAAAGATAACATGCAAGAAACTACCATAAAAGGTAAACTGGACATTAAATGAGCTGATCACTGTAATAAATGGACCTGAAAGGGATGGTCGTCAATCTCATAACAGTCCTTTTTTGGACGGGCTCTTGGGCTTCAGACATGTGGACTGGTAGTTTTTCCATATCCAACAAGAAAAATACACCTTCTCAAAACCTTCCGTTCCAGCAGCTGTATTCGTAATTCAGTGGAGGATCAATATCTACTTTTATGAGGTTATAAAATTAAAATAATTTTATAAAAAATTAGTGATAAAAAAAATATTAAAATAAATAATATTTTAGCATTTTTACAAGACATGTAAAAATAATGTTTTATAAAAGAATGATAAAATAACATTTGGTTCATCACTATTATGGAAGCCTGTAAAAATAATTCAAGTGCTAAAATAATATATATTTTTTAGCTCTTTGATGCGCTACCAGGCTAGCGGCCACACCCACGCGACTGCTGCCTCTGCACCTACTGTAGTTAAAAAAAATAGAGAAACTTTAGAGGTTGCGGGATTAGTCGTGGTACGTGCAAGCTGATTCGGATACCCACATTAATCTAAAAAAAAAAGAGAGAAAGAAGACATAAAAAGGTGCACTGATGCTGAGGAGTTGCGTGGAATTTTTTATCCTCGTATTGGGCTTCACTATTCATCCATGTTTGATGGTCTTGCTTGTATCAATGTCAAGTCTGGCAGTGGTTTTTTAATTTATTTGTAGAAAAACTGCACGACTAGACGTATGCCGACTTCATCTCACGTCACAGAGAGAGGGTGGGGGGGAGGGAGGGAGGGCAGTTGCTGTTGACGCAATCTCAAAGCTACACGGGCATTCTGTTTGCCGTACATTCCTTGAGCTGGCAGAGCACCATCACCAAGGACTGCCGATACGGATCTGTTTTGTTTTTGGGCTCCAAGACAATTTATAATGACGTGTCTGTGGGGTTCATATCTATCATGTTCAGTTTTGGCCGCCGCTACAAGGAGGAGAATTCCTGTCCCTCTATTCTTGGTATCTTTCAACGCGATCCCTTTATCTTTCTTTTATTTAATTAAGAATATTATCATTCTTTGAGATATTTTTTTTAAAATAATTTTTATTTAAAAATATTTTTAAATAATAATTTCTATTTTTTAAAAAATATTTTTAATATTAAAAAATAAAAATTTTAAAAAATTCAAAATATTTTCAAAAAATTATTTTTAATATTAAAAAATAATAATTTTAAAAAATTCAAAATTTTTTAAAAATATTTTTAAAATACAAAAGCAAACAATCTCTTATTGATCTTCCTTTCATGACTATCCTAAGCAATTGAGATGACGCAAGTTTAATCACCCACAAGATTTTAAATATAACTTTGGAGAAAGATGAATTTATATAAACACCTTCCGAATTATTGATCCTTTATATGAAAAATCCATATTCTTTTTTGAACATAACAATAAGCTCATTATATTACCTTCCATCGGAGTTCTATAATGAAAACCCACAAGATATTGACCGTGTAATCATCGTGTCGCGTCCATGCAAGCTGGAAATCACACGGGAGAAGGTAAAAACGATACGAAAAATAAAATAAAATAAAAAACATTGGAAAAGATGAAGACGAGTACCAGAGAAAGGAAAGAGGGACGCAAACCATGTACACGTAGCCCTCAACTAGCACTCCAACAATGGGAGGTGGGAGGAATTTGATGCCCATATGATATTTTGCATGGGTGGGGTACTTCTTGATGGGAAGTGTGGCAGAGGGCTTTTAAGATCTTAATGTTGATGTTCTTAGTTTCAAATTTGATTTAATGTTGTTTAATAGTAAATTTTGATTTTAATGCTGTTATGTGGGAATTGCATGAGTGCTGGAATCTTAAGTTTGAAAGGAGCATTATGCTCTTTACAATAACAAAAATAAAAATAAATTTTGAATTCACTTTGGTCCCTATGCAATTATTTCCTTTGCACATTTTAAAAAAGAATTGACCACTCAAGTGAATTGTGTTTCTTAAAGTCAAAAGGAGTGACTTGAACTTAAAGAAATTAAATTATAATAAACAGAAACCTGGAAAGAAAAGGGCAAATCATTGTGCTTTTCTTGAAAAGCTATTCTTTTTTTTTTTTCTTTTTTTTCTTTACTTTTTAATTTTAATTTAATTTTTCAATATTATATTTATTAAAACTAAAATTCTTATTTTTTAATTTATTTTTATAAAATTATCTTAATTTCATGATTATAATATAAGATTTGATGAGTTAAGCCATTTTTAATTATTTTTTAAATTCTATTATTTAATATTAGATTAATTAAAAATTAGATTTTATAATGTATTTTAGTTTATTTTTACGAGTTTATTTCTATCTTATTATTAGAGTTATGAGTTTAATAAATTAATCTGTATTGTCTTAAGTTATTTTTTAATATATTTTTTTTAATTTTATTTTTTAACATTGAATTATTAATTAAAAATATATATATATATATATATATATATATATATAACCAATAGAAGCACAATAAGCTTCAACAGTAATCAACCTAATTTTAATTTAAGAATGCATTTAATCTAATTGAATAATTGCCCAATCCTCTTAACACTAATCGCGTCAAGATTTATGATATTGGATGCTCTTTTAGGAGATTATAGCTATGTGTTAATGTTTTGCAACGTTTTTAAGATAAACAAAAATATGAATTAGAATGTTAGAACAGTTGGTTTAGAAACATAGTTAATGAATACATTTAAGATAAATTTTATTGTGGAGTCCCCTCGTAATTTGAGTTAGAATCTTGTTATAAAATATTTTCTAACATAAATATTTTAACATGAAATATTAAAACATTTAAAATTAATCATGGATGAATAAAAAAATAATTTTTAATTGACTTGTTTTTGCAAATCCAAATACTTCACTTTTACATCAAAAAATTATAAAATTTTCTTATAATTTATATAATAAAAAACTAAAAAATTAAAATTAACCTTACAAAGCATCATAATTTTTAGAGAAAAAAAAAGTTTTAAGATCTATTTAACATTGTAGTAATGATTGCAGTTTAAAATATTTTTTATTTAGAAATACATTAAAATAATATTTTTTTAAATAATTTTTTAGATTAGAACATTAAAAATATTTAATAATTTTTTAAAAAATTTAAAGAAATTCCGTTTCAACAGTGTTTCCAACCAGACCCCAAGTAGATTTAAGTAATACGTGATTGCTTAACATGTATCTAGGTTTTTAATAAATTAACCTTTTGATCTAAAAGTTTTTTTTTTTCAATCCATTAAAAATACATGACCAAATTCAGTAAATTTATCCTATCAATTTGTTATTCAAAATTAATTATGAAAGTCCTAGTTCGGGCCAGGGGCTATCATTAGTAATTGGAATAAACAAGCACATTTTTTCAAGAGAACATTTTGGTTCCAAGGATAAATGATTAAGTTCTTGACAACCATATTTTTTTTTTTTCAGGATTTTCAACAAGTAAATCATATTTACTTTATCATTATATTTAAGAAATTAAATTTTTGGCTAGGCAGGAGATTTGGTTCCTCACCTTCCCTGCCCTCTACAGAACAGAAAGACATCAACAAATGGACAAGAAATTTATATGTCTTTATTGTGAAATTATAAAAAAAATCCTCGATTTTAAATTTTGAGGAACAGCTTGCGTTTTCCTACACACGATTTTGGGCACAATCATGGAATAGCTGTTCAAATGTTCATAATCAAAATTAGGGACGATAGGCGAGGGAAATCACGATCACTGTCAGTACAGACTCTCTGACATACTGCTTAAGAAGTCCAATAATGGCAGAAAAGAACATGATAAAGGTTGAGGGAGAGAGAGGCACAGGCACATTTCCAAACAAATTGATACAACCTAATTAAGAGGTATTCGGAATTACATCTCTTTTTCGTTCCTTCCGTCGACTGGCAAACCCTTCACAATGTCTCATAATCCAATATCTCTCTATTTCCTCAGCTTTGCGGCCTGGAATTCGACCTGCGATCAAAGCCCACCTGTGATAGATCATGAAAAAGAGAATTCCGATTAATCTTACTCTTCTTCTTTTTCTGTGAACACATGCACCCAAAGCAGCTAGCCAACATAAAAATTCTTGTACTTGGTTTTTTTAGTTGATTATTTTTTAAAGTATTTTTTATTTATAAATATATTAAAATATTTTGTATTTTTAAAATTATTTATTATATCATGGTAATAAAACAATCTAAAAATATAAAAAATTATTATTTTTTTATATTTTTAGAAAACAACATTTCTAAAACGTTCTCAGACAACTCGTATTCTTTTAATTGAAGCCAAGTTTCAAGATGCGTTTCTCGGTATCCATAAGAAAAGGTAAAACTTCATTATGTATTCCAATATACATGTTTTTACCTCTTAATTTATTCATTGATACCACCATTGTTTATGATGAGGGAAAAGAAAATGTAAAGCTTAAATATACCTCCAAATCGAATCATTGTGAAAATCCTACTACACAACACATAAAGAAGGATGATATGCATATATGTAGTAGTATTGTTCCTCTTAATATAGAGGTATTTTTTAAATTGTCTTCAAGAAATTCCTGAGGCCTTATCTCACAGTGCTCGCCCTTGAAAAAAACAATTTCCTTTCTTTTCGGTTTTTTTTTTTAAATCTTCGGAGAAGTAGAAATGATAATTTTCAAATACTTTAATGGGAAGGACGGATCATCAAATGAGACCCATTTTTGGACCATGTTTACAATATATAAATAGAAATTTAAACTATGATCGGATCGGATCCATCACACACGCCGCACAGGGCCCATCGATTAATTGAAGAAGAAGAAGAACTTTCCGGTTTGCATTGCGAGAAAGAGAGGGTAAGTTTCTTGATATACAATCTTGAAAAGGATGCTTTACCTGTCTCCGACCAGCTTATACATTCTGTAAATGAGATCTTCTTCTTCTTCTGACATGTTGATGAATTCCCATTCAATGCTGCTTACCTCTACCAAATCATCACACAGAAAGAGCCGTGAAGTAGCTAGAAAGAAAACGAGAAACTGTAAAGAGAAACTATTGGCCTCGCAAGAAAGGGGGAGGCAGGGGAGAACTCAGAGAAAAGAAAGTTAAACGCGAAACGTACGTAAGAGGGAAAAGAAGAAAACGATCTTAATCTTTGAGAAGGTAAAAGAGAATCCACAAAGGGAATTATTGCTTGGTTGAAGCAGCAAAAAGAGGAAGGATTGGATTTGAAACACCATAACAACAAGTATAATTAAAGCGTAGGAAGCTCACCTTGATCAGAGCAATAAGTTGTGGTCCTGGCTTGCTTCCTTCGACGTCTATCCATTTTTTTTTCCCTGAGCAATACTTTCAGTGAGGAAACAATATACAGGGAACGAGCTGAGACTGGTGGGGGGTTAATTAATAAAGAGAGACAACCCAACCCAGCAGAATTTTCGAGTGTGAAAGAGAGAGAGCCGGCAGTCTATTAACAGTTTTTAACCAAGATATGTATGTATGTATGTATGTATGTTAAATTTAATATCCTTTCCGTTGGGAGTAGTAGCTTTCCTTTTAAAAAATATATTTGTTTTAAAAAAGTTTTAATATTTCTTTTAGAATATTAATTTTGCTTTTTTACAAAAACAATTACCGGTAAGCAAAAATAGTGGATAAGATCCAATAAGAAACTCTGTAGACAAGTGAATACTGCATGTTTTGAAAAGACCAATTTGTGCGAGGAAAGCGCGATGCTGTCCCTTTCATGAATGGTATAATTGTCTTTTCAGCAAAAGGAGTGCCCGAAATACAGGAGCTTGGACCTCGGTAAATGACCTGTGGTTTGTTGAACAAACCTTGATGTTGGTTCATCTCCCTCTATCCACGCAACACGAGCGCATTTAACCCATGATGGTTGGTAGTGTGATTTATAATATTTTTTAAAATATAATAAAAAAATATTTTTTAATTTTTAATATTAAAATTTTCAAAAATTTCTAATAAAGTATCAATGCTTTTTCAAAGCAAATATTTTTTTTAAAAAAAATCTAAAAATACAAGTTATTGTATTTAACATTTTCGACTCATTGGGTTAGATTTTATTTTATTTTATTTTATTAGTTAACCCCCTTTGTCTCAACTAGTCCCTAGATCTTTCTCTCATTATTTTACATAACATAATTTGCTTCTTAGTACGTTGTTACATGTGGAAAATACAACATTCAACCTTATTTCTATTTCAAGATCAATTTTACAAATTATGAAGAAGAAATAAGAAAAGAAGAGTGAAAAAAAGTAAAGAAAAAGATACCAAAAATATATCAAAACTTTGATTATAAAATTAGCAGTATTATTTAAAAGATCTTGATAAAATAAATACAACTACACTAAGAAATGCTATATACAATTATCAGAATAAGCTACACTTGTTACTCAGAGATAATAAATGGCTCATTTATTTTTGGTAATCAGTGTGACCCACTCTAATCACAATTGATTATCCTTTTAGGTATCGTTGGATTTGTTTTATAAATGTTTTTTTAATAATACTTGTGTTGTTATTAGAGTTTTGATATATCTTCATAATTTTCTCTCTCTTTTTTTTCTTCACGAATTATAATGAGGAGAGATTAGAGGGAAAAAAAAAAGGACTCTAGAAGCATATCAAAGCTCCGATCATGACACCACTAATATCATAAAAATATCTTGACAAGACAAATTCAAGGATACTAAAAAGATTATTAACAATTATCAAAGTATACCACATTTACCACCGAAGATAAAGTGAGCCATATTCTCTCTCTACGTGCGCGCGCGCAACACAAGGAATGGTGGCATGCTTAAGGAAGAAAATAAAATTAAAATCACCAAGTTATTCTAAGATTTATTTAGAGTTGTATTGTTAAGGTGTTTTTATTGTATTTGAAGATGACAGTGAATGAACTACAGTAAAATGTTGCAATAAATGCCAATGTAGAAGTAAAATCCATGAAAAGAATATAACTGATAGTGATAATTTACATTGATATAGTCAATATGATTTGATTTTCCTAACCCGTGATTTTAGTCTTTTTCTAGATTGATCTTTAAGTTGAATTTTAAAACAATAATTATTATTATTTTTATTTTTATTTTTATTTTAATTATAGCCAACAATCAACATGATTTATTAATTAGGCATTGTCTTGGGTCAATCCCTAAATCAGGTTTTAAAACTATGATAATATCTATTTTTATTTTTATATTAACTCGAGTCAACTCTTATGACCCGTGACCCGAGCGTTGACTCGGATTGAACCCCGAGTTGAGTTTTAAGACAATTATAAGAATTATTTTTATCCTTATATATTTTAGTTGGATATTTTTGAAATTGAGAGTTTTTTACAAGAATATTTTAGAAATAAAAAAATAAATATTGTCTTTTAAGTCATGTCTTTTTTGTATCTCTTATTTTGAAAGTATATAAATTTACTCTAAAATTATCCCATAAATAAATTTATTTTTGTATCTCTATCTTTGACTGTTCAATTAAATATATTCTTGTCTTACTATCTCTGTCTTTTATATCCCAGGACAGTAACTAAATGTTGTTTTAGTTTGCACAAAATTTAAATCACCAATATTAAAGTGAATTAAATTTCGAGACTCACTAATTTTTTCAATTGAATGAAAAAAAAAAGATTTTATAAATTTTGATTCTAAATAAACCTCATAATTATGATTTTCTCAAAAATCATACTAGGTAATAAATTAATATTTATTAATCTTTGTATAGAATTATAATTTTTATAGTTTAACCTTTTATGCTACATATCACAAGTTTTAAACAAACAAAAAATAAGTATTATTATTATTATTATTATTATTGTTATTGTTATTATCCACTATTATAATAGTCATATATTAATATTTGTGTTAGTGTTCGAGGTGGACCAGAAAACATAATAATATAGGCAATAATATGGACAAAAAATGAACAGGTTCATTTTAAAAACTTCGTCAACAAAGTGATTAACCTCTTTGATACTTGCTTCAATAATCATATCATATTTTGAATTACTTTGTTGAGTTCTATTTATATAATTATTAGTTGGGTATTTGTTGTTTGGCATATATGTTTAGCTGTATTAGTGTTAACCCAATACTATACGAAATTTTTAATATAGTTAACTTTATAAATAATAACAAACATATTTATTTTTTAAATCTAACTAGGGAGGTCATCAACCTGGTTAATATTAACTTTAATAATCACACCATTTCTTGTATTAATTTGTTGAGCTTTAATTCTACAACTCTTGAATAGAATTCTTGTCTTGCTGCAAATAAAACACTTGTTATTAAATGTTTTGAGAATATTTTTCCTTTTCTTATTAATTTTTTATTTAGAAAATTCAGCACTTGTTCCGTAAAATTTGCTTTGGGGACTATATCAGAAAAGTTGGTTCTTCACTTGAATAATTTATTGTTCTGTTCTATCTTTAGTCTCAATACAAGGCCTTCAACTCGCATTTCTCTGTTACTATATTTAAGGTAATTATTAATTTTTTTCAAAGATAACGATAAGTTCTTAATAATTGTAGTCATTTAAAAGGATTTATTTATAAATAATATTTTTAGCATAAATATCATGTAAGTAAGTAGAGTTGAAACACTTTAACTTGACTCATAACAATTCATGAGTAAATTATCTTAAAATCTAAAAATTTGTCAGCTATAAACTTTTTCATGTTAAAGCTAACCTTTTGCGGGCAACTGTATATCGAGCCATAAAACAAAAGCACAGAAAGCAGCTTTGGTTATTGCAGGTTTTAAATTCACGGAGCTCTTAGCTTCTGGGGCAAAGGAAGGAATCCAAGTGACCCGTCAAGACAAAAGGACATCGATTTATCAGTGCTACCACAAGTATAATAACCTCTTTTACTCCCATCCCTCTCACACCCTCTTATGGCTACTGCCTCTTCGTTAATCACATGCATGTTATGGGTCTTGGTGCTTGCTTCTCTTAACATGTAATGAAGGCAAGGCAGCCTCGTTTCCTCTTATTCATGTCTTTTTTGTATCTCTTATTTTGAAAGTATATAAATTTACTCTAAAATTATCCCATAAATAAATTTATTTTTGTATCTCTATCTTTGACTGTTCAATTAAATATATTCTTGTCTTACTATCTTTGTCTTTTATATCCCAGGACAGTAACTAAATGTTGTTTTAGTTTGCACAAACTTTAAATCACCAATATTAAAGTGAATTAAATTTCGAGACTCACTAATTTTTTCAATTGAATGAAAAAAAAAAGATTTTATAAATTTTGATTCTAAATAAACCTCATAATTATGATTTTCTCAAAAATCATACTAGGTAATAAATTAATATTTATTAATCTTTGTATAGAATTATAATTTTTATATTTTAACCTTCCATGCTACATATCACAAGTTTTAAACAAATAAAAAATAAATATTATTATTATTATTATTGTCCACTGTTATAATAGTCATGTATTAATATTTGTATTAGTGTTCGAGGTGGACCAGAAAACATAATAATATAGGCAATAATATGGACAAAAAATGAACAGGTTCATTTTAAAAACTTCGTCAACAAAGTGATTAACCTCTTTGATACTTGCTTCAATAATCATATCATATTTTGAATTATTTTGTTGAGTTCTATTTATATAATTATTAGCTGGGTATTTGTTTTTTGGCATATATGTTTAGCTGTATTAGTGTTAACCCAATACTATATGAAATTTTTAATATCGTTAACTTTATAAATAATAACAAACATATTTATTTTTTAAATCTAACTAGGGAGGTCATCAACCTGGTTAATATTAACTTTAATAATCACACCATTTCTTGTATTAATTTATTGAGCTTTAATTCTACAACTCTTGAATAGAATTCTTGTCTTGCTGCAAATAAAACACTTGTTATTAAATGTTTTGAGAATATTTTTCCTTTTCTTATTAATTTTTTATTTAGAAAATTCAGCACTTGTTCCGTAAAATTTGCTTTGGGGACTATATCAGAAAAGTTGGTTCTTCACTTGAATAATTTATTGTTCTGTTCTATCTTTAGTCTCAATACAAGGCCTTCAACTCGCATTTCTCTGTTACTATATTTAAGGTAATTATTAATTTTTTTCAAAGATAACGATAAGTTCTTAATAATTGTAGTCATTTAAAAGGATTTATTTATAAATAATATTTTTAGCATAAATATCATGTAAGTAAGTAGAGTTGAAACACTTTAACTTGACTCATAACAATTCATGAGTAAATTATCTTAAAATCTAAAAATTTGTCAGCTATAAACTTTTTCATGTTAAAGCTAACCTTTTGCGGGCAACTGTATATCCAGCCATAAAACAAAAGCACAGAAAGCAGCTTTGGTTATTGCAGGTTTTAAATTCACGGAGCTCTTAGCTTTTGGGGCAAAGGAAGGAATCCAAGTGACCCGTCAAGACAAAAGGACATCGATTTATCAGTG